CCCCCCGCCCCCCCACCCGCCCCCCCCCACACCTCCCCTCCCCTCCCCACACTGCTCCCTTCTTCCTGTGACCCCAGCCTCTCCCACACACAGCTCCCCTCCCTCCCCACACTGCTCCCTTCTTCCTGTGACCCCAGCCTCTCCCACACACAGCTCCCCTCCCCACACAGCTCCCTTCTTCCTGTGACCCCAGCCTCTCCCGCACACAGCTCCCCTCCCCACACAGCTCCCTTCTCCCTGTGACCCCAGCCTCTCCCGCACACAGCTCCCCTCCCCACACAGCTCCCTTCTCCCTGTGACCCCAGCCTCTCCCGCACACAGCTCCCCTCCCCACACAGCTCCCTTCTCCCTGTGACCCCAGCCTCTCCCGCACACAGCTCCCCTCCCCACACAGCTCCCTTCTCCCTGTGACCCCAGCCTCTCCCGCACACAGCTCCCCTCCCCACACAGCTCCCTTCTCCCTGTGACCCCAGCCTCTCCCGCACACAGCTCCCCTCCCCACACAGCTCCCTTCTCCCTGTGACCCCAGCCTCTCCCGCACACAGCTCCCCTCCCCACACAGCTCCCTTCTCCCTGTGACCCCAGCCTCTCCCGCACACAGCTCCCCTCCCCACACAGCTCCCTTCTCCCTGTGACCCCAGCCTCTCCCGCACACAGCTCCCCTCCCCACACAGCTCCCTTCTCCCTGTGACCCCAGCCTCTCCCCCACACAGCTCCCCTGCGCTCCCCACACAGCTCCCTTCTCCCTGTGACCCCAGCCCCTCCCCCTACACACAGCTCCCTTCTTCCTGTGACCCCAGCATCTCCCCCACACAGCCCCCGCACCCTGTGCTCCAGTCAGCACGGCCCTGAACTCTGCCCACCTCCATGGGTGCTGCCTGGTGTCCCTCACACAGAATGGACCTGAGCAAGCACCCGAAGAAGAAAGCTCCTGTTTCATAGCTTGTGTTCTTCAGGGTGTGTTGCTCATGTCCCCAGCCTCCTGCCCCAGTCTGAGTAACCAGCAAGAAGGCACGGGGGGGGGGGACTGCCCAGCGTGCTTTATACCGCCATGGACACGCTACTCCACCAGTCACTAGGATCTCTGGGCCCTGCTAAGGGAAAAACTTCCAGCACTGGTGCATGTGGCAAGCACACACCCCTAACATGCAATGGACATGAGTATGCATTTGCAGAAGAAGAATTAGCTGTCCCTAATCTAGGCTGATCTCTTGAACATTGCAGGCCACAGAACCTTACCCACCCACTCCTATTATAGACCCTGAACCTTTGGTTGAGTTACTGAAGTCCTCAAGTATTGATGTAAAGACTACATGCTACAGAGACTCCACTATGTAGTTCAAACTAGCGGGGTAATGTATGCATACCGCACTTGCTAATGAAGCCCGGGATTTGAATTTCCCGGGCTTCATTAGCATAAGCGGGGAGCCGCCATTTTTAAATCCCCGCTGCTTCGAACCCCGTGTAGCGCGGCTACACGGGGCTCGAACTAGGTAGTTCGGACTAGGGTGCCTATTCCGAACTACCGGTACACCTCGTTTCACCATTTGGTGCCCCATTTAACTTGGCGCCCTAGGCGACTGCCTAGTTCGCCTATAAGGACGGGGCACCCCTACACATAGCCTGGGGCTATGTCTACACTGGCATGATCTTGTGCAACAACTCTTCCAGAAGAGAGTGTCTACACTGGCATGGGCTTTTGCGCAAGAGCATCCATGCCAGTGTAGACGCTCTCTTGTGCAAGAAAGCTCCGATGGCCATTTTAAACATAGGGCTTTCTTGCGCTAAAAAATCATGTTGCCTGTCTACACTGGCCTCTTGCACAAGAACAGTTGCGCAAAAGGCTTATTCCTGAGCAGACGCATCAGAGTTCCTGCGCAAGAAGCCCTGATTTCTTACAGTAGAAGGTCAGTGTTCTTGCGCAAGAACTCCCAGCCAGTGTAGACAGGCAGCAAGTTTTTGCACAAAAGCGGCCGCTTTTGCGCAAGATCGCACCAATGTAGACACCGCCTGAGGGTGTGGGTGAGGGCCACAGGCCAGGCACCTGGGAAAGAATCCTCTGTAATAACTTAGAGCCTTCCTCATCTAATGTCCTATCTCCAGTTACTGGACATTTTTTCTACTAACCCTCACAGATGGGTCAAAGTCACTGTAGACTAGTGATTCTACTGGACCCCTTTCAGGAGTCTGACTTGTCTTGCATACCCCCACATTTCACCTCACTTCAAAACTATTGCAAAAGAAAACAACAAATCCAGTGTCATATTTACAGAAACATTTTTTACTTTCTCCATTTTGTCAATTACAAAATAAACACGTTGGAATAGCAAGATTGGACTTACATTTCAGGGTATGGAGTATAGAGTAGTATAAACAAATCACTGTATGAAACTGTAGTTTGTGGTGACTTTGTAGTGTATTTTACGTAGCCGGTCATAAAACTAGGCCAGGGTCCCCAAACTACAGCCTGGGTAGGATCTGCCCTCTATCCAGATCCCTGGATCCTTGTGTCCAGCCCAAGCTCCCACTAAGGAAGGCCAGCCCCCAGTCCCACCCCTTCTGTCTCCCTCCTGTGCAGCCTCAGCTCCCTGCACTGCCAGCCCTGAGGCTGTGGGTGATGCAGCTGCAGCTCTGGATGGACAGAACAGCTCTAGTACTGCCTGCCCTGCTGCTCTCAGCAATATGGTCAGGAGGTGGGGAACAAGGGAGGATGGATGAAGTAGGGATCTCAGGGCGTGTGGAGCAGAAGGGTTAGGGCAGGGGATTCCAGGGGGTAGGGACCAGAGGTTTGGATAGGGAACAGGCCCCCATACAATTTCTGAACCCCAATGTAGCCCTCAGGACAGTAAGTTTGGCCACCCCTGAAGAATGCAAATATTTAGCTGAGTTGCTATGCCCCCTGAAAGACCTCTGCATGCCCCCTGGGTACACATACCCCCCTGTGAGAACCAGGGCTGTGGACAACTGCATCAGACCATCAGATCCTTACATTTATCAAGCTCAGTACTGCAACAAGTCAGGGTTTCCCCCTGCACTCCCCCCCCCCCCCCCCATACCCTGCTCCTGTGGCAAGTCTGTTCCAGAACTTAATTCCTCTGGTTAGAAACCTTCATCTAATTTCAAACTTAAACTTGTTGATGGCCAGTTTATATCCATTTGTCCTTGTGCCAACATTGGCCCTTTACATAAATAATTCCTCTCCCTCCCTGGTGTTTATCCCTCTGATGTATTTATAGAGAGCAATCGTCTCTCCCCCACCCGCTGGCTGGCTAGGCTAAACAAGCCAAGCTCCTAAGATCTCCATTCCTCTGATCCTCAGTGTAGCCCTTCTCTGTGCCTGTTCCAGTGTGAATTAATCTTTCTTAACCGTGAAAGGCCAGGATTGCAGAATGGATTCCATAAGAGGTCTCCCTAGAGCCTCGTGCAGTGGCACCAACCCCCTAGCTCTGCCGACCATATCTAGGCTTTCATGTAGCTTATTGTCAGCCTATGGTCAGTGCTCAGATCTCTGTCCTCCTGTCGCTTCCAAATGGTAAGTCCTCAGCTTACAGCAAAGTTCTCCTAGTGAGTGCAAAGTGCAATGGC